GCCACAAATTTTATCCTCCTCTCTCTCAATATATTTGAATTAAAAAATAACAACCCCATTTGGTTCAAAATAAATAATATTAGAAATTAAAATAATTAATTCCATTACGTCCAAAATGATGCGTGAATTCCGTTAAATAGCTTAATAATATATTGATTTGTTGAGAAGAACAAACAAAAAGAGTGAGGCGGCCATTAGAGAGTCAGAGGGGGAAGGGGCAGGCAGGCAGGCAGCTGCGCAGCGCAGACCATCGCAGACCATCGCAGTCAAAGAATAGCAAACACCAGCCGACACACACACCATTATCCCTTCAAACTTCTGACCTCACTCCCTCATCTTTTATTTGACCCATAACCCCAACTTCCCATCTCGTTTCCCCTCAATTTTCGCCTTCATTTTCTCTCAGGCATTTCATCAAACACTTCGCCTGCAAGCAGCCGCCCATCCCCATTTCATAACCATCATGGGATTTTCACTAAAAAAAATAAGGAAATTAAAAGGACTTTTATTTTAAAAAGGAAGTGAAGACAAGATTAGTTTGACAATGGTTTAGGCAAATTTGAACCAAACAAGAGAGTAGTAAGCATGCGGTGGCGTGCACCCAATGCCACGGCACTCCCCACCGCCGCAGCTAGTGCTGCTATGTTTCATTTCTTATGACGCAACTGCAGCCTTCCATTTGCCCTTTTTTGTTCTAACCCAATTTCGAAAACATCTATCTATAATATAAATATCGAAAATACAGTCACGATCTTATTCTTTCTATCAATTCCATATTAGGTTTCGTCATAGACAAACAAAAGCTCGTTATTTCTACACCATGATCAGATAGATATCGACCCATCACCCGCTCAATCCCATCCCATAAACACACAAACAAAAAGAAGAACACAAAAAATAAAACCCCCAACTTTCAATAATACATCCAAATCCATCCTGCCTTTTCCCCACCCTTTTGTTTTTTTGGTAAAATTATTGAAATAAAAAATAAAAATAATTGATGAATACTATTATTATTGGGATATATGTGAGACCCACTAAAAAAAGATATTAAAAAAATATGTAAACATTTTCTGTGGTCCAAAAAAGCAAATAAAAATAAAAGTGAAAAAGGCATGTCCAAAACAAATCTCACTTTCCTTGTCCCCTTCGTCTTCCCCTCCTACATACACACCTAACTTTCCTTTATAAATAAATTAATAATATTATGGTCCACAATGTTTTCTTTTTATTTTATTTTTTTTATTTCCATTACTAAATGGAACAAAATAATTTAACTTTGCTCTTTTGGAAGCTTTTGTCTTCTATGCTTAATTACTTAATTTAATACCCAATAACTCTTTATTTAACCAACAATACAACCCGACAAATTATTTCTATTTGTTTCTTAAAATATAATTTCGGACGGTAAAAAGTTACGGGTAATACGAGAGTACCATATTTTTTCGACTTTTTGTAGACCCCACGATACTTTGTTATATATATTTTAATTAATTGAACGGGAATTATTAGAGTAATAATAATATTTTAAAAATAAATAGAGGTCAACAACAAAGTACTACAAACAACTTGGTTAGGTTTAATTATTTATTAAGGAAGTACACAAACTCAGAGAATGTTTTTTTAAAAAAATAAAATTAATTTTTTTTTGCAATAAAATAAATTGTACGAAAAAAATATTTTTATAATTAACATGTGGGTCACAAAGCAATATTTTTTTTTTTAAATTACAAATAAATTAACCGACTTTTCATTTTAATTTACAAAATTAGCCTTGCACATGAATTGTCCCCATCATTAATTAGCTTGTATTAAGGCTAATTAAATGGCCATGTTGTGGCCAAGGGGTACTTACATTATTTATTAACATATTAATTAATTTAATTTAATTTAATTAGTTTGACTATTAATGATTATTTTATAATTTAATAATATAAATAATAATTTAGCAATAAAGTATCGTTTTTTAACGTATATCGATTAAAAATGGGTAATTTGCAATTAAAAAAGAAAGCAGGAGGACACAAGCGTAAATATTGTAAAAGAAAGGACTAAAAAAGAAATAAAAATAATATATAAGAGGATTGGAAGAGTGGTAGAAACGTGGGGGGATGAGGAAGGTAGGAGGAAGGTGAAAAATAATTGCAATTTACAAATTTGCCCCCACAAGTTTTTCAAGTAAGTAATAATAATAATAAATAAATAAATAAATAATTTGCACGTGAAAGAATTCCTCGCTAGCCACTCTCGTGGACTGTCCTTTTTTTTTTTTTTTTTTATTTAACATATTTATTTTCACCCACAAAAGAAAAAAAAAAACAAATTAAATAATAAAAGACAAATGCTTAAGAATATCTAGGGTTTAAGGTTGACTTATATGGGTCTTGTTCGTTATTAACGTTTTTAGATTCAATTCCATAACTACGTGTCGTGTACGAGATGAGTTCGTGTACTATGATTCAAACATTTTCGTTGGTCCATTGAACTCGAATTCATTAGTTATGTCTTTGATTCATATAACGCTAGGAGAAAATGAGTTTGTATACTAGTAGTGGGTTTGAGTTGTTATAAATGGTATTAGATCCAGACACTGGAGGGTGTGTTAGCAAGCACGTTGGCCCCCAAAAGGGTGGATTGTGAGATCTCACATTGGTTGGAGAGGGAAATGAAACATTTCTTACAAGGGTGAGATCTCATATCATACTATTGTGGAGAGTCGTGTTCATCTAACAGACCCTGCATAACAGGCAGAAACAAACAAGAACACCATACTTTTTAAGCCGAATACACGGGTAGAATAGTATAACAAGATACATTAGTTATAAGTATTAAGCGTGTCGGTGTCGGTGTCGGTATCGGTGTGAGTGTGATATTGTTTAAAAGATAGAATAATTAGCTATTGACTTTAGAAGACAAAAAGGAAGTAAACAAATGCATTGGTTTCTAATAATTTGGTATTGAAGTTGTGGAAAGAGTTATAAAGGTAAAGAAAGAGAGCATGGTTGGATACATTCAATTTGGAAAACTAAGTCCAAATATTTCCCAAATTGAATGATTTTAGGTAATGGAAGTAGAAATCTTTGCTTGCTGGTTTGGCATCATTAACACTTCTTAAAGCTATTTTAAAAGCCTTCATTGTCGGCATCATTTGGATGCATGTCCTTTTCAATGCCAAACATTTTACTTTCTTTCTTACTATCTTTCCCTTTGCTCCTCGATTTAGCTCGAGATTTGATGGGTCGTTATTAACGTCAAATAAAAGAAAGATAGTTCGAGAAGTTATTTAGGGTTATTCTGTTAATCGAACTACGAACAAAAGAGGAACGGTTCGAGAAGTTATTTAAGGCTACTCTGTTAATAGAGCTACGAACAAAAGAGAAATGGTTCGAGAAGTTATTTAGGGTTACTCTTTTAATCGTGCTACGAACAAAAGAGGAACGGTTTGAGAAGTTATTTAGGGTTACTCTGTTAATTGAGCTACGAGTAAAAGAGGAACAATTCGAGAAGTTATTTAGGGTTACTCTTTTAATCGAGGTACAAACAAAAGACAAATGGTTTGAAAATTTATTTAGGGTTACTCTTTTAATCGTGCTACGAACAAAAGAGGAACGGTTTGAGAAGTTATTTAGGGTTACTCTGTTAATTGAGCTACGAGTAAAAGAGGAACAATTCGAGAAGTTATTTAGGGTTACTCTTTTAATCGAGGTACAAACAAAAGACAAATGGTTTGAAAATTTATTTAGGGTTACTCTTTTAATCGTGCTACGAACAAAAGAGGAACGGTTTGAGAAGTTATTTAGGGTTACTCTGTTAATTGAGCTACGAGTAAAAGAGGAACAATTCGAGAAGTTATTTAGGGTTACTCTTTTAATCGAGCTACAAACAAAAGACAAATGGTTTGAAAATTTATTTAGGGTTACTCTTTTAATCGTGCTAGAACAAAAGAGGAACAGTTCAAGAAGTTATTTAGGGTTACTCTTTTAATCGTGCTACGAACAAAAGAGGAACGGTTCGAGAAGTTATTTAGGGTTACTCTTTTAATCGAGCTACGAAGAAAAGAGAAATGGTTCGAAAATTTATTTAGGGTTACTCTTTTAATCGAGCTATAAACAAAAGAGAAATGGTTCGAAAATTTATTTAGGGTTACTCTTTTAATCGTGCTACGAACAAAAGAGGAACGATTTGAGAAGTTATTTAGGGTTACTCTTTTAATAGAACTGCTTGTCTCGTCTTCTTCTGAAAATGATTAGGGTATCCTATACCATCTCTTAAACCTTAAATTCTTACCAAAAGCTTTACCATTCATGTTATTTGTACTTGTAGGCTTGTATCATGGCACGTAGCCGACGATGCCCTTTGGAGGACGATTATGTTGTGAGTTTATGCAATGATGCATGCTTCTTTCTTGCTTGTAAAAGATACTGATGTGAGATCCCATATCGGTTGAGAAGGAAAATGAAACATTCTTTATAAGGGTGTGGAAATCTCTCCCTAGTAGTCGCGTTTTAAAAACCTTGAGGGGAAGCTTGAAAGAGAAAACCCAAAGAGAACAATGTCTACTAGTGGTGGATTTGGGTTGTTATAATTGACCTCTAACACGGTTGTGACCATGAATCTATAACTCGAACATAACTTAAAAGGTCATGAAGTATATTCTCAAAAGTTTATCGACCTCGAGCACTGTTTTTGCTTTACTTACGTCTTTTCTTGATTTTAATATTATAACCGACCTCGAATAATCTTAATAACCCTTGGTTGGGCTACACATTATGCATAAAATTGTGAACAAATTCACTAAAATCTAAAAAAAAAAAAAAAAAAAAAAAAAAAAGAAAAAAAAGAAGCTAAAAAAAAAAAAAAAAAGAAAAAAAAAAAGAAAAAAAAGAAGCTAGTATTGAACTGGGCCTAAGGCCCATAGAAAGAAAGGGTGGGCCCAAAGTCCAGGTAAATAAAAAATGGGCCAAGATATGGAGAATAGAGCCCAGAACCAGAGGGTGCCCGCGCAATATGAGCGGCGGTAGCGGAACGGAGACGGTGCGCGTGGAGGCTGGGCAAGAAGTTCAGATAGAAACGGTGGCCCAGATTTGGAGGACTTCGAGACTGAGACGAAGCCGCTGTATTCTTTCTTCGCGCTGAGAAGAAGAACAAGAACCACCGCCACCATCGCCAAAAAAATCTTTACTCGTCTCACTAAACTCCCTTGACAACCGCCAACAAGATCCAAAACCGCCTTCTTTCACGGGCAATACTATCCTCTTTTTCACCAACACTAGGTACCTCTTTCCAATAGTTTTTTTTTTTTTTTTTTTCGCGTTCTTGTGTTTCTGCTAGATTCTGATTGATTCCTGCTAAAAGGAAAATGAAGTTTCCGAGGCTAATGCATTGCTTTGTTCTTCTATTCAAATGCTTAGCTCGTTAATTGCATTTGTTTCTTTACTTCCCTTTTTCATACTTCACTGTTTTCTTAGCTTAATCGGCGGAGAAATAAGCGTAATGATTGCTGGAGTTTTACTTCAATTGTAGCTAGAAGAGTTTTACTTACTGCCCTTCTATCTGGAAGAAATTTATTGCTACAATCTCGATTTCGTAAACTCGAGCTTCATTCTTTTCCCCCTTGGAAGTTTATTTCCAAGTAATTGAAGTCCAATAGGAGCTCGGACGTATATATTTCTGAGGTAGGAGTTGGAGTACCGGCCAACCTGAGCTGAGCTTATGGTTAGGCATTTGTTACTCCCCTCGACACTCACCCGCGCTTTTGTGCAATGTAATATTTTTGAATAATGGGTTTCAATTTTTTAGGAGTGTACGAAATTTCGTGTTAGGATTATGCTTATGTTAATATGCTTGTTCTGTTTTTCAATTACAGACCCACTAAATGTTTTAACCCTTGAACATCTTTTGGTCTTTGTTTTAAGTGGTGGTTTTTAAAGTCCACAGTTCATGGGGTTTACGATTATTTTTATGGTGATATCTTCCAATTTCATTGCCACAATATCGATAGTACAGAAGGAAGTGCTTGCAAAGTTGCTCAGACTCTCATGTAACATACTTTTGTATTCAATCTTGATTGAAAAATTCCTATAACTAATTTTAGCTAAAATCAAAGTGGACTTAAAAACCCAAATATCGCCCCCCCCCCCCCCCCCCCCCCCCCCCCCCCCCCCCCCCCCCCCCCCCCCCCCCCCCCCCCNGAGAGATTAGTGGATGTGATTCTCCAGTGTGCCCATGAAAAAAATTTTATTATTTGTCATTAGTAGCCTTACATCCCTCAGGATGGCTGATGGCGGTAACCATGGTGTCTCTCCTTTGCCAGATAATCAAGACTGATAAATGTCCAGAAGCTCTTTGAAGAGAGTGCTTGAGGTTGTCCATATACGTGTGTAGATAAATCTTTGGGGTGCAAAGGAAGAAAACTCCCATTCCCTGGCAGTTGCAGAAGTTGATAAAATTAACTCCAGTGCAGCATCCTGCTAATGAGAATTCGAAAACGGTATCAGAAAAGTAAGAAAAAAATTCATAGTGGACAATTGAAACAACCTTCCGGAGTTGTCATTAGGAACTTTCAATAATTGTGTATTAATTTCATTCAAACATCTTCGGCCAAGCACTTCGAAAATGATTGATTAGGAATAGGCTACTTAGTCGCCAGAAGTGGTAAGCAAGAGTGTATATTATCTTAGTGGTTGATTCTTTAGTCTTAAAGTCTGAGCAACCTCTAGTTGAAGTAAGCAGGAATAGGAGTAGTCAAGGAGGTAAGTTGGTATTCTTAGGGGACAATATGGAAGAAAGAGATGAATATACAGAATCAAGAACTATTAGTAAATCTGCAGCCGTACAAGAAGCCAAGGCCAGTGTTGAAGTTGAAGTGCTAACTAGTCTTGCAAATGAGCAAATTGATTCAGCTCCTAACTATCTGGAATTGGGAACAATTCGAGACTGGACCAGTAAAACTGGCAGTCCAGATGAAGAAAAACCAGGTGTCAAACAGAATATGGAGGAAGATAGTAAGGAACTTTGTTTGGGAGAAGCCCACAGTGAATTACCAGAAAAAAGCAGTCAGACTATCTCTAAACTTGCTGAAAATGATCAAGGTGAAGCTGGCAATTTATTATCCAGTGATAAAGATACTGAAAATTTAATATTACCTATTGAAGTTGAGACAACGGCTCTTCTTAATGAGTGCTCGGAACCTCCAACTGAAGATGACAACAAAAATTATATCGAACAGGCAAACCCTCCTATAGAAGCTTCAATCCAAAATACTTCTATAAAAAATTTAAATATGGTCCCCGATAATTCTCCAGAGTTGGGTTGCAAGGATAAGAGAGTTTTAAAATCAAAAAAGAAAAATTATATTTTAAGGTCCCTTGTAAGTAGTGACAGAGTTTTGCGTTCAAGGACCCAAGATAAAGCTAAAGCTCCTGAACCAAGTAATGACTTGAGTAATGTTACTGCTGGAGAGGAGGGAAAAGGGAAGAAGAGGAAGAAGAATAGAAAGATAAAGGGAAAGGGAGCAAGAGTTGACGAGTTTTCATCAATCAGGAATCATTTGAGATATTTAGTGAACCGCATCAAATATGAACAGAGCTTGATTGAAGCTTATTCTAGCGAAGGCTGGAAAGGGTTCAGGTATGTATTTTCACCTTTAATCAGTCTTACATTGACTGCGTCCTGATACTTTTTTGTATTACTCTGTTTTTGTGATTTTGATAGATGGTCATTTTCTCATTGCGTACACTCCACTGATTCCAATGATTTCTGTTTGAATGGCATCTAGTATTATTTCCAGCGCATTGTGAAAGCTAATTGAGAAACAAAGAATACAAAAACAAAGGTTGGATAGTAAATCTCCTCAATAAAGCAATGGAACACAAATTAAAAGCTCGCAGGTCCCTACTCCATGGTTTAGAATGGATCTAATTAAACGCTTGTTAAAGGTTTACAGAGTGACTAGGTCTTGGATTTAGTACCCTTGTTTATTGTTTCATTTTTAGCTGCGATTACTTGCAAGTGCTCACCTGTATTATTCGATGCTTTCAAGATTTATGACATTAACCAAGCCAGGCTTCTAGAATTCCTAACTTACAGATGATTCTAATGATAATAAACCTAGAAGTTATATACATTGTTAATTCATTCTGATACGAAGTGAATAGCAATTTCTATGCACCATATGTACAGATCAATATTGAAGTTTTAATTTGATCTTTGTTTCAGTCATCAATGTTTCCTACTATTACTTATCTATTCATTTCATATATCATATGGGTCTTAATGAAATGCATGGCGTCTACTAATCATCACTATAACCATGCAGCTCAGATAAATTGAAGCCTGAAAAGGAACTTCAACGTGCATCAAATGAAATAATGCGACGCAAATTGAAAATAAGAGATCTATTTCAACGTATTGATGCACTTTGTTCTGAAGGAAGGTTTTCTGAAGCTTTATTCGATTCTGAAGGCCAGATAGATAGTGAGGATGTAGGGGGATATTGTCTTAAGATTAATTTTGACTAGATGTTATCTTTTGATTCATTATTCCTAAATTTTGCCTCTGTTGCATCTACTTTTTGTGATAAATTGTGAACTTCTGTCCTTGTATCAGATATTCTGTGGAAAATGTGGATCCAAGGAACTTTCCCTTGAGAATGACATCATACTATGTGATGGTGTCTGTGATCGTGGGTTCCACCAGTTCTGTTTAGAACCACCTTTGCTAAACTCAGACAGTAATATTCTCACTACCAACTAGAAATTAGGTCATTTTGTTTCCAGTAACTTTTCATTCACGCTCCCTCGTTTCCTCTCACAGTCCCACCAGATGATGAGGGATGGCTATGCCCTGGATGTGATTGCAAAGATGATTGCATTGATCTTCTTAATGAATTTCAAGGATCAAATCTTTCTATTACTGATGGTTGGGAGGTAATTATAATTTTCCAACATATGCTCAAAAGGTGCTTTTGGTTGGTTGTTATTTTATTATATTCTTCTAACTCTGTGCAGAAAGTCTTTCCCGAGGCAGCGGCAGCAGCAGCTGGCCGGAGTTCTGATCACACCATGAGTCTCCCTTCAGATGATTCTGATGATGGTGATTATGATCCTGATGTTCCAGATGCTATTGACCAGGATGGTGAATCGAGTTCTGATCACTCAAGCTCTGATCAATCAAGTTCTGATAAATCTGGGTATGCTTCTGCTTCTGCTTCTGAGGAATTGGAGGCTCCACCCAATGATGACCAGTACTTGGGTCTCCCTTCAGATGACTCGGAGGATGATGATTATGATCCTGGTGCTCCAGTGCGTGATGAAGGTGTTGGACAGGAAAGTTCAAGTTCTGACTTTACATCTGATTCTGAGGATCTAGCTGCACTTGTTGATAACGGGTCGTCTAAAGATGATAACATAGCGTCTTCTCCATTAAATAATACTGCGCCTGTAAGAAACTCTAATGGGCAAAGTTCTGGACGCGGTCCTAACAAGAATGCACAACATAACAAGTTATCAAGTCTAGTAGGGTCAGGTCCTGACGAGGGTGGTCTTGAACTAGTTTCGGGAAGAAGACATGTGGAGCGATTGGATTACAAGAAGCTTCATGATGTGAGTATTCTCTTATAAATCATATTACACTATATTCTTATAGAATAAAATTTTATATTTCTATTTTCCAGTTTATTCATTAAAGTATATGGACGACTCTCTGTCAAACATAGTTGACTGGTCATATGTTTTTTTTTTTAATAATAAGAATATAGCATTGCACGTGGGAATTCAAAACTTTGATGGGAAGGTTACTAGTGTCTTAATCACAGGCTCATATTAATATTCTTACCTTGATTATTTTCAGTGTGCACTACTTGGGATTTTCGTTGTGGTAGAATGATATTCCTTCAAATTTTTGGTACTTCATCGAGTTCACTTTCAAATTTTACAATTTAGACCGCAAATTTTCAGAAATAGGTCAAAATTTTCTGTGCCTAATGTTTTTTGTTAGCTAAGAAATGAAAAGTTGACCAAGACACTTTTAAATTTAAATTTATTATATTAGTTAAAAACTTTTATGTGGTGCTACAAAATTTCCTTGTGGCAAAAAAATTAATATACATAAACTCCAAAACAATTAACTTAAAAAAAAAATCCTAAATGAGCATTAATTGAACACCAAAGCTTGAATTTCTTCTGAATGTTGTCATGATTAACAGGGCAAAATACACTCTCTGTCCAAAAGTTTGGGGCTGGTATCTATTTGGTCGTTGAAGTTTCAAGATATTCACTTTGGGAGCACGTTCCATGTGTTTTGCTAGACTGTAGAATATAAAATCAGTAGAAAAGGGTTTCTCATTCTTGAGAATTATCTTTCAATTACTTATTTCTTTTTTCTTCATCAAAAAGATAAAATAAAATGGAAAAATTTTCAAGTTGCATTGTCCCCGTAAAATGTGTTTATGTAGCCTTCGTACATGTTCTGTGTCTTGTGTGGATAAATTGAATGTACTTATGCATCAAATGTTTTATAAGATGAATCTAGATATTTAACATAGCTCTTGCTTGCTTAGACTAAACCTCGTTTAGTGAGTTTCTATTCCTTTATACTATTTCCCTATTACATTATTGAAGGAGACATTCGGGAATGTTCCTTCCAACTCGAGCGATGACACATATGGCAGTGATTCTATAGATTCAAGTGATGACAGAGGTCGTGGTAGGAGTACAAGGAAGGGAAGTCCTAAAAACCTGGTTCCTGCATTGTCAAGAAATGGAACTGATGATTCGAAAAATATAAAAACTAAATGCAGTTCTAGGAGAACTCGTCAAAAGCCAGCTGCTGAAAATATGGATAATTCTGTGACTAAAACTCCTGAAGGCACTTTGAAATCTAGTTCTTCTGTTAGACGAACCACTTCATCATCACATAGAAGGCTCAGTCAACCTACATTGGAGGTAATTTTTTTTCTTCTTAGTTTTTTTTTTTCTTTTTTCTTTGCAGCTCTGTTCTGGTTCCAAAACATTATCCTTAACAAGATGTTATTTTCTTGTACCGTTTTGTTTGAGCTGGGATTTCCTTTTTCATTCATATATCTATTCCACCCCCCCCCCCCTTTTTCTTCCCTTTTTTTGGGTGGGGTTGGGAAATGNTTCCCCCCCCCCCCCCCTTTTTCTTCCCTTTTATTGGGTGGGGTTGGGAAATGAGGTTTTATTTGAAGATTTTTCTATTGATTCCTTCTTGCAACCTTATTTAGAATGCATACTGATGCCTAAAGAGTCAGACGAACTCAATATTGGAGTTACATAATGTCAGCCATGTGATCTATTATATTTGTTGTTTCAAATTTTCTTATCAATAATAGTTGAGACACTCATTCAAAGCAGTTTTCATCCGTCTTTCTGTCGTTATTCCTCTCTAAGAAAATTAAAGTGAAATTCAAACTGAATCCTACGTTATGAATTCATACTCTCATTAAGCCAGTTACATAAAAGAAATTGAAATGTTATTCCCTTTTGTATTTGTAACCACAATTTTACGAATACTTTTTTAGGATTTTAACCCTTTTATGTTACCTGAATTCTTCTCTTCTCTTTTCTTGCAACTGCCAGTCACAATTTTGAGCTATTTATTGAGCAAATATTCTTGGTGTCAACTCGGATACTTTATTATGAGGGCTTACACTCCTCTTCAAGATAACCATTTAAGAATGCTTTCTTCACCTCAAAGTGATTCAATTGATTAGCGGCAGTAGATAACAAAATCTCAATAGTATTAAGCTTCGCAACAGATGCAAACATTTCTGTAGTGCAATTCCATAGATGTGTATATACTTTGGTCACATTTTCTTGCTCTTGGGTCTAACTTGCTAGCACCCCTATCAGTGTTTTTAATAAACACAGTACATCCAAATATTTTTAGAGCCATGGACTTTTTAACCAAGATTGTGGAAATAGGGAGCACTTGAACGGTGTTCTAAAATTTAAGACCCTAGATGGCATTCTATTGATCAGGTTTGTAGAGTGTAAATTGCTTCACCTGAATGATATTTGGGTATGTTCATATAAAACATGAGGGCTCTAGCTACCTCTTACAAGTGCTTATTTGTCATTCCAACCCTACGATTTTGTTGGGGGTGTATTACGAGTTGAACTTTGTTGGACTATCTCCCCTTTTCCTTAAAGAAATCTCCTAGACCATGAGCAAAGTACTCTATAACCTCTATCACTTCCAACAACTTGGATTTTGGCATTGAACTGGGTGTGAACCATATGATGAAATCTTTTGAATTTTTTTTCAACTTCTGATTTTTCTTTTGACAAGTATACCTAGCTTACTCTAGTATGATCATTTATCATAGGTATGAACCCTTTTTACCATGACATGTTTAACCCTATACCCCATATATGTGAATGAATTAAATTAAATGGTCGTGATACTTGATATGGACGAGGATTATATGTGCTTTGATGATGCTTGACAAGGGCACAAATTCACACTGGACAATAGATGGATCTTTATTTGAAATATATTTGGAAACACCTTCTATAAACAAAAAAATAAGAAAAAAAAGGATATCTTAGTCTAAAATGCCATAAATAAATCTCATCATTACTACAGATAGAGGTTGTTTGAAGACACGAATTTCTTGGGGCTTCTTTGTTAGAACTTGACTCCTTATATAAATAGGATTTAGAGACCCTTGCTCTCCCTAGCACTTCCAATCATCCCCCTGAGACCGGTTCCTGAAATCACGAAGTGAGGATGAAAAATTAGCCTGGCATGAAATTCTTTTGTGAGTTTGCCTATGGATATGAGGTTATAAGACAACCTTGGAACATGCAAAACATTAGATAGGACCAAAAACAATGAGATTTTAATGTTACCAAATACCGACTATGGTGTGGACTAAGAATCACCTGCTATTCTTACGTTTTTATTTCCTGCACCAGGTTTATAGGAATAGAACAGGCTAGACAACTGGTCATATTATCAGAAGCCCCTGAATTTTCTAAGGAATTTTTTTTGTTGATCACAAATGGAAGAAAGAGTGGAAGAAGACAACAAAGACACAATGTATTTTTCTATTTTTGGCGAACGAGCATGGAGTTTCATGATTGGATGGATTGAGTTACTTCAGGATCTTTTTCCATTTATTCTGGAGTGAACTGAATCGTACATATGATTTGATTTGATGTTCTTGAGGATCTTTTCACATATCAGTACTGTTAAAAATGAAATTAATGCCATTTCTTGTTCCTAATGTTCCAGAGACTCCTTGCATCATTCCAAGAAAATCAGTATCCTGAACGAGCTACAAAGGAGAGTTTGGCACGAGAACTAGGGCTCAGTCTGAAGCAGGTTATGCATTGGGTTTCTTGGGAAGTTCTAGCTAACATTTTATTCTACTGCAAGTCTCAACTGTTTATTACATTGTCAGGTTAGTAAATGGTTTGAGAATACACGTTGGAGCACACGCCATCCCTCCAGTGAAGCTAATAAAGCAAAGAGTGCTTCAAGAATGGGCACTCAATCATCTCAGACAAGTAGAAAATCTCCCAAGCCTGAGCAAGAATCTGGTGCATGTTTCAGAGACACCTGTAGCAATGGTGCTCAGCATCAAGAATCACCAAAGGCAATTACTGTTGTGGCCCCATGTCAGAGTGGAGTTACAGGGGATGACAAATTAGCGTATCACAAAACTAAAAGGCCAGAATCTACTGCTACAAAATCCAGAAAACGGAAGGGCAGGTCAGATCAAGTGGCATCCCGTTCAAAGAACAGAAAGAAATCACGGAAGCCTCCAGCTAAGTCATCCAAAGTTGATGAAATTCAAACAGCTGATAAGGTTAAGAAGAGGAGGAGGAAATCCATGTAGATTCTGAAGTTTTGATCGATCCTGGAAAATTATTCGGTAATTTATCCTCTTCCAAGAACCACATTACATCAGATGCTGGTGAAGGGAGGTAATTCCAATTGTTTGTAGTTCTTTGCGGTCACATTAAAATTCCTCTTTCTAATCGCTTTCACATAAATCCTTGTCTGAGTAACGTAAATGTAGAGCTTGTTGTTAGATATTTATATGAATTTTCAAACGAATGCTCTCATCAGACCCTTGTCTTGATGTGTGTTAAACAATCAATATTTAGCTATCCATTTAGTAGCAGAGATTGTTCTGTTAAACAACTTGGCTTTGTTCAGTTTGAGGTCACATGTAAAAACATTTTAGCTGGCAGTAGTAGTCTTGCTTCAATGCTCTGCAGGGCCGTCTTGAACAAGATTGTTACGAGGCACCCTTCAGCCTCAGAGTATCCTTTCTCGACAACGTGAAGTTTTGCAGCGATAGATCACTTATGAATGTAACATTGCTCTTCGCTCTTCGATCCAGCACTCTTCAAACAACTGATTTCAATTTCATCATGCTTATTGAAATGTTTTGCAATTAATCTTGTAATGAAATGTGAAGCTAGGTTCTGCAAAATCGAAATGTAGTTGACATAATATCAAATGTAGTTCTTTTACACATTGAAAGTACTCATGTCCTCCTGCGTTTGGGTCCTATGTTTATCAGTTTTGAACAAGTAAAAATGTTAACTTGAATTAGCACGGTATCCTCATCCATATCGATCGAGCTTACTTCCAAGCATTCGGGATGTTCGCTAGTTCTGGCAACCTGTGATTGAGCACTGAAATGGGAAACCACAGGAAGAGTTGACAGAAGCAAGAATATTAAAGTTTCAAATAATTATTGATCTGTTTTTCTCTTCCCCCCTTACACCCTACTCAGTATGATGTAATTGATATACTCAATGCCCCAAAGTTGAAACAAATTATGCCTCTTTTGTTTTAACAAGCAGAAGAGATGCAACAATAATGGTGCATCTTCTTTCTAGCACATCCCTTAAAGTTAGTCATGCACTTGATATACGAAAGAGCTACTTGGCACTACAGGAATGAAGACGACAACTCCGGAGTAGTACTAAGACTGATAAACACAAGAATTAAAGTCGAAGGTTCAGATCGAGCTGGAACAATTCGATTGGTGGTGGCTTTTCGAGATTTCGATGTTGAGTGAAGCGGAAGCTCCCTGGCCACATCAAGTCCATGGCATCCCCCAACATGAAAGGAGCCCATGAACCAGTTTTGACATTATTAAATCTTGCTGCTAGAACAGTATCTTCCCTGCCTGGTTTGTGCACAAGTGAATGTGGCTGAACACCAAGTGATCTAATCATAGAATTATGAATTGGCAGACCAAACAGGGTCATCATCTTGTGGGCTTGGTGCCTTCTGGCTGCACTCCTCTCTCTCTTGTGGGCATTTTGATGGCCTCCCAATGCCTGTGAACTGAAGAACACCCTCTTACAGAAGTTGCATGAAAAGGTCTTGGTTGAAGCTGCTGCAGAGCTTTGTGATTCAGCTAAAAGCTGCTTGTTCTTCCTTCCCAAGCTCAAGTCCAGCCACTCCAAAGCTGCTACGCCATCAGGTTGGTCTGTTGCTTCTTGTTCTTCTTCACTCGAATCAGCTCGTCCGTTACTGTATATCGACTTTTCAATTTGTTGTCCTTGAAAAATCATTGCAAACCCAGATTCCAAACTAAAAGTGGTGAATTTTGAGCTATAAATTTGGATGGATTGATTGCTGATTCTATAATCTAACCCTGAAACTGAAGCTGTGGTAATGGAAGCAGGCTTTGATTATTCTTTTATCTTCATTTTCAACCCGACCATTAGTGGTCCAGTTGACATGCTTATGTCATGTATACTGTTTCCCTTTCAAACCAAAGGATTCCCCACTTCCATCAATCTTTCCAATCCCTATTTCTTAACACTCCCTGGTTTAAGACACCACTTTTTACGTTGGATATGCATTCAGAAATCAAGATCTTCAATTATTCGTCTCAACTGAATTGTTATCGGTTGACTAATGATCAAATAAGTTGAACATCTTGATATCGTTAAAGGTGAGCAAACATCAAGATGGCTACCTATTCTAGACGTTCGATAATTGTCTCATGAGATTAAATGTAATATGTGTAATTCTTCAACCATAATGGTTATGAAAAAAGTACTTATAGAACGTTATGTAAATGTGTAAACTCACATGGACAACCGAAGTTTGAATTCAAGATCGCTTCAATTATTTGCTTAGACCCCACAAAAATAATTGACATTATAAAAAGATTGGTCAATATTCAAACTTCACATAATGTCGGTTTTCTTTTGTTTGCTACTTTCTTCTTGGCCACATCTTTAGGAGCCATATACCAACACTACACAAGGCTTATTTTGGGAAATTTTGAGAAAAACCAAAATCAATGTGATTGAAAGTCACAATCTGTGAAATTCCACTTCAGTTGAAGGGAACGAAACATTCCTTATAAAGGTGTGGAAACCTCTCCTTAGTAGACGCGTTTAAAACCGTGAGGTTGACGGCGACACATAGCGGGCTAAAGCAGACAATATCTACTAGTGGTGGGTCTAGGCTGTTACACATTATTTGAAGTGTCTCCCAGCGTAACGAAGGAATGCTTCGTATCCAACGAATCACTTTTGAAACTACTTTTGTGGGATTCTTTCCAAGGCTGATGTTTCCAACACATATCTACAACTGAGTGATTTTCTTTTGGGTTTTCATTCTGTTTGGAAAAAGAGAATAAGTAGAAAAGCTGTAAGAAGAAGCATCACAGAAAGCAGATAGTAGTGGTTTAAACATCTTTATTAGAAAGATGGCTTTGCATTCTGACCTAATTGTACATGATTGGGATAATCATAACACATTATTCACACTTTTTTTTTTTTTCCTTTTCATTTAAGCAGTCAGCCCAACTCTTTTGTAGAGGAAAACCACTCAAGAACCATTATGTACTGTATGCATTGGTAATAAGTTCTTTCTTTCCATTATAATCTCATGAAAAAATGGAACCCCACCAAGAAAAAGATAGTTGTTTGGCTAGGGAAGATGTTTCAAAATAATATTTGATTTGATGGGTTACTGTGAAATCCCACGACGGTTGGAGGGGAAATAAAACATTCCTTATAAAAGTGGAAACTTCTCCCTAGTAGACGTATTTTAAGATTGTGAGGCTGATGGCAATATGTAAGGTGCCAAAGTAGACAATATCAGCTAGCAGTGAGTTTGAACGGTTAGAGTTACCGTTGTGTATTATTCTCTCTCTTCCATAATTTTTCAATATGGATAGCCTCAATTCAAGTGGTTTGTCTTCTACGTAGAGATTTGCTTGACTTCTTTTGTATTACAAGTTAGTTGATTAACTTGGACAGGAAATTTGAAGTACTTGTTCATGTCCTCATCTGCAAGACTTATTAGTTGAGAAGACAGGATCTTTCTTTCTCTATCTCTCTCTTTCTTAGAGAGGAAGGTAACATTGGAATCTTTACCCATCAGGGACTTACCAATGGTGCCTAATTCTGTTTGATTCTTTTTGCTTTATTTAGAGTCTTTAACAGTAAACTAACTAGAACTTGGGTTAGATGTTCTCTATGGATGATGATGTTTACTGCAAACTGAAATGAAGTATGAGATATTCTTAACCAAATGTAAATGAAACCTTTCTAAAATCTTTCTACGTGAAATTGGAATTCAATGAAGACACGTAATCTTGACCAAAAAACTTGAAGTTACGGTCTCGAGAAAAATTTGTTTGAGTTCAACAACAACAGAGTGAGGGATCTAACCATCAACTTTGGAATGGTAATTGATGTCGTATCTACTAAACTCTGCTCACGTCGAATGTTGCACAACGAAGCATGACCTTCTTCAAAATAAGCCATATAGACAATAAGTGTTAATAAAGGTCATAAACTTCTCAAGTCATGGCATACAATATTCAAGTCACCCATATTCAACAATCATAAAAGTCATAGATAGATGTTAATATTAGTTAATTAGCAAATGGATAGAACCAATTAGTTTGTCCAGTAATTGACGACATCTACTTTACTTTAAGTCACATTAAATCATAGTTTTTATAATTAAAGAAAGCTTGATAACAACACAAATTCATATTATATTAATATGAGACAATACTAAAGTACAGAGGAAATGAAACTAAATCATGATAAAAAAAAATATGAATTACTATTTGATGACGATGGAAGTAGCTAAGCTTTGAACAAAGGTTTGTAGATGATGGGGATGATGATCAAAAAATAGTCAGTCTAGTGGACAGTGGATCTTCTCAGCTTTATAAGTGCACTTACTTTCTAACTGGGGTTCTCAACAGTCCTTTTCTGTATATTGGACATCCAATAAGTGAGAGAGAGGGAGAGAGTTTTTATATTTTGAGGTTGGAAATATCTCTCCATCCTTCCAACCATTGATCTAAGCCCTCCACTAAGAAAATCAACCACTTTTTAGTCTAAAGGATGTAAACTGTTTGAATAGTAGCTAAAAGTGTTCGAATTCTACCGTTCAAAGAATTTGAACTAGAACATAATTCATCTAATTATTCTTAATCGAGAGATCAGAGGTTTTCCTACTTCACAATAAAGAAAAATTCAAATCCTAAGGGAGAAATCTTCAAACTCATCCCCACATTCTATAAAACTAGCTGGTACAGACGGAGATTAAACTTGGACGGGTCAGCCATTGAGACCCGAGAGACAATCTCTGTCCTCACCCTGTTACCATTTTCAATCAAGTTCCTTGTGGGGGTAGGAAGGAATAAGTCATGGGGCTTGAAGGTGTCTTTTGGGTTTCCCTAACAAGTTTTTATCAGAGGGAAGCAGGAGGGCCAGTCCGGTTGTAGGGAACAACACCAGCTAAGCTTAAGGCTATGGGCCATGAAAATCAACAACGATCTCCAAATGCTCCTGCAGCAAGCCACGAGTGGCATTGCATTGTGGACCAAATGAAACCACAAACCATAAACCTGGCTTTAGAAACATTGACATGTTAGTGTCAATCAAATCGGCATTGGCACCCCATGTGGCTGTTGCTATTGCGTTCCCACCTACATGGATTGGATTTCAAATAAGAGCTGAGCTACAACAGCCACTCAACACCAATCTCATTTTTAAGCCCTTGAAAGCTGAATACAGACAAGCATTTAGAAAGCATACCTGATTCAATTTTGTGTCTAATGTTGAATATGGGGTTTGAACTGTTCCATTCAAACTGTGACACACTCAACTCTAATTGGTTGTTGAAAAGTTCGTGTCCCGCGAACAAACATAATTCACTTGGAAGATACGAAAAATGAAAATGCAAGTTTATATCCTAGCTCTCCACATATGTTTTTCATTATATGAAAGCATTAGTGTGTTAAGATATACATAACTTTATGTAAGAGGCATATATTAATAAAACTTTATGCAAAAGGCCTAAATTAATAAAACGTGTCATTTTTGTGTGGGAAACTTACAGGTGGATGGATTATTATTTCTCTCTGTTGGGCTGTGTCCAGATCTATAATTCTTCGGCTTAAGGTACTGAGAAAGCTAATAGAAACAAGAATATCATAACGTGATTCATAATCCAGTAACTGTAATGAAAGTAATTGAAGGTAATAAAGAAACAAAGCAGGTCAAATCAACAATTGATAATTTTGGGAAATCCAAAGGACAACCGGGTACTATGTGGAAAAATAGGATGGTTCCCTGAACAGCTAGGAATTTTTTTATTGTATCTACCAACCTACTAAAGTACCCAGAAATTCTCTCTCCCTACTGAACTTCACCCCCATAGAATTGCTCACATGTGTGCTTCTACTGGAGATCGCTCAAGTACCTGCAATGTAAAGCAAAAGGAAAAGCAATAAGAACTAGATAAGACGTGAACATTTTACAATTTTAATTCATGTTCTTTGTAAGAAAAGAACACTTGTTCAATGATGAAATGCTTCATGACTCTGAAAGATATCACAAAAATATCATCCACCGAAAATGTTATGCGCTACGGTTCCATATCTAATGAAAGCCTTGTTTCTTTCATTATATTGTATCACATAGACTACCGCTACCAGTAAATAATAGTAACTGCTACAAGATATGACATAATTACCAACCGAAGTTCCCTCAACCAGGAAAACCTAGAGGGGTAAAATCATGCAGTACTAATGAATAGTAATTGATACGATTTACATGATGAAGAGAGAAGCTTGTATTAATTTCAGTTCAACTTACGAGACCCAGAAATAATAAACAACGGAGTATGCAAGTTATCAAGCTCCTGAACCCTCTCGTACATTTATTTCCAGCTAAACAGTACACTTAGCAAAAAACAACGACCAGAATTTCTAGGGAAGTATAACGAGGAGGGTCAGCACAAAATCTTTATGCATGACTGAATTGAAGTATCATCCATCATGGCAGAAGGTTTGAACATCATCCTTGATAATAATCTTAGAAGATGTTTGCCCACATCAACCTCAAATACATTTTTCTAAGAGAATTTAAGTGAGCGACTTATTTGACTCACTAATTATCACACCTCAATATTTCTTCATTTCCTCCATTGAAGGAACTAAATAAATATACAACTAAAAGAAGTTAAGTTGATCAAACAGGACCAAACATTCCCTTCTGTCTTCCCATATGGATAAATCTTTCCTCTTCACCCACCTCCAATGCATATATCTAAAATTTTTATGAAGTTTAGAAAAGTGCACATAGAATACTGCTAAAAGTGAAAAGAAAGGGGGAAAGAATCAAAAAGCAAAAAAAAAAGGGACCTACAAATGTTGCGATAGTCTCCTGCTTTCGAATGATAGAATGTCCACGTGCATCACCCATCTTTTCCATTCATTCCTATCAATC